AAATAAAGCATTTATTTAAGCTAAATGTGGCAATGAATAAAATATTACTATAGAGATGATTACTAATCGAAGTAATACACAAAATATATAATAATATGATTCGTATTATCACAGTGGCGTAATGCGGTAATGTTTTTTGTAAAATAACAATATTATCAACTATTGAGTCGAGACAAATTATTTTAATTTAAAAAATACATTAGTAAACGTCAATTTATAATTTAAAGTGATATTAAAGAAACCTAACTATATACATATTTTAATATCTATTCAAAATTATACAATTATTATCTCATGTTTATTACATCATATTTTGATTATATTTGTAGCACATCTCATTACAAGAACCAAATGCATACATGTATAAAGTTACATAAATGAATAATAATCACAATATAATTACTAACAAACTTTAATTTATGTGTTATAAGCTTAAGTATATTTAACGCAATTAGTTGATATAATGGTTTCAATTTCATTACTTAACTCTTTCTTTTAATTAACTGTTTCAAAAATATGCAGATACATTATTTAATTGCTAATGTTAAGATATTGTGTGATAAGACTACGTCTCTTAAATATTTTAGTGTTTTTGGTTGTATGTATTTATAAACAATTTAAACAATATAACTAGTCGTATGACGAAATAAGATGGTAATTAAGTAAAGTTTAACGAATTTATCAACATTATCCACGTAGAACGATATGTATCTTATCTACGGATAACGGGTCATCAATAAAATATTTTCCTTAATATGCTATTCTAACATTGACAAACGGCGACAAAATTGATAATCTATTATGACTGTAGAATATTAATTTTTTTTTTTTTCGTTTTATCACTGGGTTAGGCTGTATTTTTTTAGCGGCGTCGTATTAATTCGATTTCGTTCAGCCGACTTCACGGTCGTTTAACTTCACGGCAAACAAAGCATTGTCGCCCTACACGTACACCGCTGTTCCGATACCGAATCCTAATGCGAAATAAACGAAAATATAAATAAATCGCATAATAATTGGTCACGGAGGCGTCATCGTACGGGTCGTTTAGCGTCCGACACATATATAGGTACGATTAGATAACAAAGTGACGCCATGAAATGAGTAGACAGAGACGCGTAACGTCTTAATACAAAAAAACCGTATGTCTACATCACGATATTATATTTTGGCCAAAGTTTTGAGTTGGAAAAAATATTTCGAATACAAATGAGAAAAAAAAAACACCCTACACAGAAACGTACGTTTGGCAACAGCCATTCCCATTCGCCCTTCTACTCTGTTATTCGTCTTGCACAATATAATATAATATTACGTGCCTACCCACCAACAACCGACATGCATTTAACGTCTAAAATTATCAACGATGTCATCCCGTACGCGTTCCATCATCGTTTTTCATTTTTCCTCCACTAATATTATAATGCTCATAGTTAGAGTTTACCTTTCTACGTCTAATCAAACATTATTAGTTATTGCAGTCATATATTTACTCATGTGTATCATGCGCACATTCATATACACTACTTGCCGCCACCGCTCGACCATTCCATAGAATTTCATTTTGATATTAACCTTAAATCGTGTATTAATTATTGGGCGGCTTTCATTTGGACGAATTTATACATATCATTTGTGCAAATATACGTTTCCCTTCTCATTTTTAAAGACTTAGGACTCTCTGTTAACTGTAACTGACATTGTTAAAAATGTATTATTATCATGTTATAATTTATTATATTTTAATTAATTATCTTAACTGAATTTTTTTATTATTATGGTATCTCATACCCATTTGTTTAATATGATCTATTATTATTTATTGTTAATTTTCCATTTTAATATTCTTCCCATAATTTTAATATATATTTGGGAATTGGTTTTGACACAAAGGAAAGCTTCGCAATCATATAAGCGCCATTCTAGTGAACAATATATAAATAAATATGTAATTATTCTAAATAATCTTTAGAATAATAAAACATAATAACTTATTTATTTATTTCGTAAGTACCTAAGTATAATTATTAGTATTAACCATTATAATTGTTTTAAAATATTCATCATTCATAATATAAAATACAAAATTTTATAACTCATAAAATCAATTATTATGGTCAGCATTTTTTAAGACAACACCAAATTTATTAGGTTATGTCTACATTACCCAATTATTCTAAATTACTATATAAAATGCATGGATCATCGTTATTATCAAACAACAAAATTCAAAAAAGCAAAAAACGAGCAACTGTTATTATTGAGAAACAAATGGATAGTAATACTCACTGTGGGGCGTATAATACACAAATAGTTATGTAATAACTAATAAAACGGTTCGACGACGAGATTTTTTTGACAATACCTCTTATTATTATAGATTTAAGACGATCATGACCTAAATGATAACTGAACGCGTTGAAGCAATAAAGAAAAAAATAATAATGGTTAAACCAAATAAATACATATTTTAAGGACAATAATAAAAAAGTATTGTACACATAACACGTCTTGAGACTTGCACGCCACACTGCATGCTAGCCGTGGTGTACAATTATTTTAAAGTTAGTAAGTAAACGTAACATTTCGTGAACGGTTGATGACTTCGAAAATAACGTGATTTAATATATAATTAGTTATGGTTTATTAGCAATTAGTATAAAAAGTAAATGAGTAAATGTTTTTTCTGTTACTTTATTATTTGTTAAATATTTTATTTTTGAGTACGACTATTTACAATAACATTGTGAAGTTTTATGATTATAATCATTAATTAAAAATTATAAATTTATACAAAACTTTTTTTTTGAGTTGCTGACAATTATCGTATTCACAATTGTATTATAAGTTCCTGTGGTTTTTATATCAACCCTATTCTGTTGTAATCTAATACCTCTATACGAATTTATAATAATGACGGTAGGTAGTATTGATAAAATTAATCTTGTTTTTATTTAGTTTCCAAGAGTTTTGATAGTTTTATTGACCTATCTTCGATAAAAATGAATACAAATTTAAGCCTTGTTCAAATCGTTTGTAGTATACGTTTTTGTGGAAAAAATTTAATAACGAATACATTTAAAATTTTAAATATTATTTCATAAATTTAAGGTATTTTTTATAAATATTTGAAGCAATTATTTATTTTTTTTTCTTTTATAACATATTTAACTTTGAGAAGCGCTAGACTTAATTCGCTCACCACACGTATTTAGGATGCTTTTAATATTTTACCACTTTCGCTACAAAAAAGGTGATTTATACGACCTTTTAATTAATTTTATATCTCTAAGTTTGTGTTGAGAGTACCTTGTCGTAATACTAATTTAACATAATATTACACATGCAAGTTCTGATAATAAAATTACATATTATATTATATTTATATACCTAATCACACGTGTGAGCAACAAATCATTAAATCATTAGGAAACAATATATTTATAAAGTATTATAATAATAACACTCGTAAGGTGTACATTAATATTTAATTTTTTGTTTTTAACTTTGATCTACTGCAGGAGTACCTATAACGTGAAATTTAATAACTGCGCTTACACCATCTTATTAAGCTTTTAGATTTTAATTGATAATATTACACAATAAGGATACCAGCGATGATGCTTTTTTAAGGGAACGTTACAGCTCGTTAAACTATTACTGAAGGAAGCTGTACTAACGAGCAACGACTAGGAAAATATTAACGAACTACTGTCCAATTTTACGTTAATGATAATCTAATAATGAACTGAATTATAAGTATTTTAAAGGGCGACAGCTAATATTTAGTTTGATATGTTCAAATAATTTTAATCTTCTATGGATTGTATAAACTTTCAAACAGCCAATCTCACTCTAGAGAAAATAAAAAAAATGTACTCTTAAAGAAAACAGTAAAGGCATTTCAAAATAACTTATTGAATTAGGTACTTATCGTTCCATAAAATGATTTTCATGATGTAACGAATATTGTTTAATATCCAATAATTGTCTTAAACTTATATTTATATGAAAAAAACCGGATGACAATCCTTCGTTAAATAAGCTTACATAAATAAATACAATTAGTATCATTAATGTTATCGTAATAACTTTGTTTTTTAGATTTTCAATAAAATTTCGACTATAATTTAACTTATATAATATTATGATAATATAGTGGCATACTATAATGAAATATTATCCATGTAGTTTATAAATTTTCCATCAATGATAGACTACTTCGTGATTGCATACATTTTATATACATTTTTTTAAAATTAATGTTAATATAAGTGTAGGTAAAATTATGAATATGTGGAGTGAAAAAAAGAATAAAAAATGGTCCATCTCCAGTTTCCTAAAAAGTTATATTAGCGTAATGCACCTCTTGACAACCATTAATAATATTATTCAAATTTCTGTAGTTAACTTTCACATTTTATGCATTTAATTTTATATATTGACTGGAAAAAACAAACCAATTATGTTAAATGTTAAACGGTTATATTATTGTAGTTATTTACGTACCCAATATTTTATAGATATAATATAATAATAATATGACTAGAAAATAAATATTTACTCAATCAAACAATTCCATAAATTATAGTTATGAAAAACAAAATCATATACGAAAAAAAAAAGCAAGTAGGTATTATGTAAATCTACATACACATTAATATACATACCTTAATAATAATGTTTATATTTTTTATCATTAATAATAGGTATACATACATATATAAATAAAAAATATGATAATATATTATGAAAATTATTTAAATTAAGTTTTATGCCAATGAGTAGATACTTGTTGGTAAAAATTACCCTGAATATCACACATATTAAATAATTTCTTAAAATATACTTACCTATCATATTCCGTTTTAAAAAATTATGTTGACAATATATTTAAAAATACATTACATGGTTCTCGATAGGAATATCAATAAAAAATAACTTGTCGTTAACACGATCATTTTCAAAAGTATATAATGAAAAATATATTTGATCGTGGCACTAAAATACACAATACATACTATAATAATACTTATACATTAGTACAGCATATATTGCACAAAGCAGTACACAGAATACCTCTATTAATTTATATTGTTCATCTTTGTGGTTTATTAAATAATAACAAAAAATATTAACAGCAACGATCAATACAATTAATTGTTTCAATATTGACTTAAACAATTATTTATTTATTTTAAATGGTGTTTTAAGTCACCATAAATGTTACCTACTTCACTTTTTGGGTAATTTATTACTGCGATGTATAAGTTTACAGAAGTTCCGTTTACTTGGCAAAATAAATCAATGTATAATTAATGAAAACAACAAGACTTCAATGTACTTCAATAACTTATTAATTCGACGCGTGCAGTGCCTCTAATAATTATAATATGCCAGTGGAGGGCCTCCTAACCACAGTTGCGGTGTTACAATCTTAGTTACCAAGGCGGTCACACCACGTTAACACTAATCAAATCAATAAACAATTGTCAATATCAGTATTGCAAGCAATAAGATTACTACAGAAAATTTCGTACAACTATTGGAAACATGAGAAACAGAGGTTTGTATCCGAATCATTTATTGGAATGACGGATGCTAAATATATTCCGGATTCAAACGTCGGGATAAAGAATTTAAAGAAAATTGTCGGTATTAATAACCATGATTTTTCAGATAGTATGAGTTAACACGGGCGCCTGATAATTCACAAAAAAAAATTAAAAATACATTAAAAGATCGAACTTATACATGACATAAATATTCTACACCACAAGTAAGACACAAGTATGGGTATCATCAAAATAACTTAGCCCCTTCCCTCCACGAAAAAAAAAAGAAGAAAGATGAGCATATTTAATCCCTATTAATTAATACCCATTAATTACTTTCAAACAACTATTTGCAAAAAAAAACAGAATTAACATTCAGTTTTTGGGTTATTCGGAATATATTATTCGGATTTCGGGCGTTTCGAAAAAAAAAAACCATTTTTGTTTAAATTGGTCATTAGTTGGTTTTTGTAACAATATTTAATAGTGTTACGTAATTCTAGTGCAAAGTCCTGGTAAAAATATACATAAAAAAAAAAAAAATAATGATTAAACGAGTCGTATCTGTATCGTTATTTTATTAGAACGATTAGCGAATTGTGATCGCAAATCCGACGCAGATAAAAGCATATTATAACGCGTGTATCGATGCACGGCTGATTGAACGAACGGTGGCTGACAGGCAGGAGCGAGTAGAAACGCTGCGGATCAACACTCGAGATCTAAATACGATACCAATGACCTGGGCACGGGTAACTGCGGTATGCCGTGCGGTAGGCTGAAGTTTTGGTGTAACGCCTTGCGCACTGCGCATCTGGCCAGGTGCAGCAGCGCCGGAACGACGTTTACGCCGCTGCCGTCACGTCCGTCCTCGTCGCCGTCGCCCGACGCGTGGACGCTGCCGTTCTCGTCGTCGCTGTCACTACAGCGGCCGTCGGTCTCGCGGGCGACGGCTCTGAGCAACAGTTCCAGACACGGTGGACGCGGCCGGCGGACGGCGGACGGCGGTCGCGGTCGGCGGAACGCGCAGGCATGCGATGGCCGCGCGCACCGACCTTCCCGTCCGGGCCGTACCGCAACAGGCATGGCAACGGCCGTCCTCCGGCGGCCGTGGCCACCATCACGGGAGCCGCCCGATACGACCGCATCCGGACGTCCTGCAGCCGGCGGCCGTCGAGCAGGAGCCGCGCGCGCGTGGCCCGATCCAGGTAGAAGTCCAACGCCGTCTGATTGTCGGCGACGGTGGCCCCGAAGTCCGTCCACCGGCCGCTGATCATGCGCGCCACTTTGCTGCCCACCACGGCGCCCTCGAACAGCTTCTCCAACGTTTTCTCGCACCTGCAACGCGACACACGCGCAGACGATTACGTCACTGATAAAATACAAAATGTTTCTCGCCGCAGCGTACGATCGTGTGAAACGTATATTATATAATATTGTAATAACGACGTTCGTGTCAGCTGCCACGCGTGGCTCGGATTTAAATGCAAATGCATATTATTTTTGTAAACGTTTGGCTATTGGAACGTCTCTGTTTGAGAACCTATAAATTTCACGATGTATCGAATATACTTGCACGTTAATGCAGTGTATGGTTAGCACATATTCTGTTTCCAATGTTAATTTATGAATTGTTTTTTTTTTTTTTTTGCATATTCCAAGAACGAAACTTATATTAATTATTGTATATTTCTGCATAATACGACATAAAATGATGCGTACGCCGTAAGCATTCGAAATAATTGTTAGAAGTACGTCATCAAACTTTGTCCCCTGATACGAGACTGTTTCGTGACAACCACAAATCTAGTAACTACCGATGTGAAAATTTAAAAATCCATTTTTAAAAAGGCGTTAATACTAATCTATAAGTCAAAATACTCTATCAATAATAGTCATATCATGGAATTACATTTTTTTTCTTTGAATTATTAATTTTCGTTAATCCGATAAGCCTCCTATAATGGGACAATTTATTTGAATTTTACAAAAGAATTATATTGACTTTAATTTTTTACAAAATATTTTTTTTGTTATTATTTTTTTTTTTTTTACCCAACAGGGTTTTAGTCCTATACTATATATATTAAAGCAAGTGTAAATTATTTCTTGGTTTTTAGATGTTAATAGAGAATCGCGGTAAAGCTAATATGGTGAAAACTGAACTTTATTTTTAATTTTTACAACATTTTACAGAATTTTATAATATAATATATTATGTCGTAAAATATATTTTTTTTATCACACTTTACATTGTATATTGTATAACCACCTGTAAATATGGTAGGTTTGTCGGAATAATTATCAATATATTAAATTAGACTTTATAATAGTGCAAACAATAATTAGGGTCAGATAGCTGTGGGATATGAGTTATAACGGATTATCGTGAAAATCTTTACAGTATATTATATGTGTACAGACAAAATCATGGATTATGTTTAACATAAACATATCCGTATTTGTATTATTATGTTAGGGTAAACCGGTAAAATGTAATACGTAAGTTTTTACATGAAAAAAAAAATCGTGAGTACATAAATTGTATTTTGAATTGGAGAGAAAAGGTTAACACAACGTTGTTAATCTACCTTTATTTCATGTTCTATGCATTTTTACAGCTTTACGCACAACCTGAGCGTAATAAATAATACACGTACCACAATAATAATAGTAATGTTATCATATTCGTTTATTTGTAATATTATAAGCTGTAACGGATGTTGGGCCATTGGGTCAATGAATGATCGTTCAGTGGTCAGAATTCGGGACCTAGTTCTAATTTTAACTCAATTGGCGCGCGGCGGTGCCAATCGAAAATGATTGATTTCTACAAGGTTATTATAACTAATTATGCATTTATACTATCGTCATTGTATTATCACGCTTGTTTCCGAATGTAGTCAGTACTTGCCAAGTATCCATCTATACTGCAATCGTTATTCTACCAGTGACTCGAAACCAAACCACAAAAATCGCTTTACATTTTTATTACTATTCGCCTATTTTGCGGGTGCGCATATGCAATAAATAACTGCTTTTGGATAAATCTTTTGTATATCATTATTATAGATCAAAGATGAAAGTCTAGTAAGTAATCACAATAAATTTTTCACAGCCATGTTGTGATCCGTTGGATTGAAAATATTGATTAAAATATCATCCAATGAATGTTACAATATTATTTACAAGTTAATCAATACTAAAAACAATAACAATCGCTGACTATACTATCATAATAAAAAAGAAATTTAAGATGAATTAACAGATTTAAATTATTAGTCATTTTGCTAAATCGTTATATTTCAGTATAATAAAATCAAAAAATTAATAGAAAATAAGTTGTAAAGCAATAAATAAAACGAATAGCAAATATTAAAAAGTGAAATTCAATAGCACAAATTCTAAGTATTTCACCGTTCATTAATTTGTTAATAAAATAATATACAGTAAATAGGAAGAACAATGACCGAATAACTGATTCAAATCCAACTTCACGAAAATGCGTCTGTTTCAATACAGTCAGTCGTAGATAAAAAATATTTTTTTTCAACATAATAATAATACTTATAACAAATAAATATATATTATAAACAATACATTTTTAAGGATTTAAACGTTGATATAAATTTGTTTAATTTTGTTAAAAATGTATTGGTTTTTTTTTTTTTAAGTTAAAATTTAAAGTATTTTTAAAATTATGCTCTTATTAAAAATTACTTATTATGCGGGAACATTCAAAAAAATAAAATTAATATACATTGGCATTTAACTGAATAAAACATTAATATAACTGCAGTTATAACTTATAATATTAATGAAATTAATATATGTAAAGTACTTTATTAAATGGTATTAATGCAATATGTAATATACGAATCCAGTTATTTTAAAATCATTAAATACATTACAAATGTAAAAAAATAAATAAAATGTAATTCATTTTATCTACATAAAAGTTAACTAACCAATAAAAAATCTTAAGCGTGCGTAAATAATGAAGTTGTTTTTAAAAGATCCATAATATATTTAAAGTACGTTTCAAAAATACATTTGTATATATTTTTCCTTAAATAACATAAACAATTCAACGATACTAAAACGCAATGCAAAAGTCAAGGATACTTACAAACTAATCATTTTAATCAATTTTTACTTAAATTTAAATAATTTTATGAGATAAGATTAAAAATACAAAATTCAAAATTAAAGTTTAATAACTTAAATTGAAATATGTCTATAATATAATAAAAGATAATCAACTATAATGTGAAGTTTAATATTATAATTTATAAACACAACAATCCAACTCAACTGGTCAAATATAACTATGAAATTAAATTACTTTAATTTTTAATTTTTTGATCAGAACTATTATTTCTATTTTTACATGTTAATACTTATTAGTTATTATATATAATATACGTACATATACGTGTACGTCAATACGTATATATATATTTTTTTTTAATCAGAACCCAATAAATCGTCTACATTTAGATTTGTTCGACAACGAATTATATCAAAGTGTTTGTACTTAAAAGATATTTTGTAATTTAAATTTAACAAGGTCAAGTACAATAATAATTGAGTATCAAAAATGATCCACTCGTATACGTAATGTGGTTTTCATAATTTTAATGTAATCTAAACTAACCATTGTGATTGATAACTATTATATACATTTGTTCAAATCCTAGTTACAGCTCTAAATCACAGTACCTAACTATAGTATATAATATTATGGATTATAATACCTATATAATTTTTTGATAATTATCGTTTTCAAGGATTTCGCTTTCTTGAATATATCTAATAATATCTATACTTCATTAGTTTTAACGCAGGATGAATAGCTAAGTTGAATTTTATCATAAATCCAAGGATGCAGTTCGTTAAGTATGTTCCCGTAAAAAAAAAATAACATTATACCTGCGTATAAGTGTATGAATGTTCATAATACTTTGGATTAGTCTCTGAACATGAGTATAAATTATATTTCAAACACACCAAACCTATAACTTGTACTTAATAGTAATGATTTTAAAAAATATATTTAAATCATACTATCTGCAAGGGTATAAATATTGTTGTTAAAAACACAATACCACAAACACTAACCATAAGTTTTTTTTTTCTTAAATGGTAATATAAAAATAAAAATTTAATACTATAATATTATTATTAAAAGATTTTAATAATTGATTAAAGTATAGGTATATACATTTATTAAACATTATTTTAACAACTATCATGATGACTATCACTAAAGTATAAATTTAATACTCAACAAATTATTTTATTATGATTTTATATGTAAAATTATGTACGTATATATAAATTTATAGAAACATTTTATATTTTTATAGCAATAACCAGTAGGCAATAGCCAATAACCGGTAACCAATAAACTCGAATGAAGAAGGCGCTTGTACATTGAAATTAAATTTGACCTATATTTGACTTCTACGCAATTTAAATAAAACATTCATATACATGACGTTAAGTTTTTAACTAAATGGGAACGAAAGTAAGACCAGAAACACTAGCGTTAATAGTTTCGAGAAATTGTAGGTCATATTTTAAATGTACTTCCGGACCATGAGCTGCACTATACAGAATTATAGATATCAGAGGTCTTCTGACATTTCGTTAAGGTGTTTATTTTGGACTTGTGTCAACTAGCACTCTTCTACTTTTCAGCTTTATTTTTACGACACAGTTTTTAAACCCTATATAACACAATATTGTATTTTATTTAAGTATCTTTCAAGTGTTGAAATAAACTTTCGTAATTAACTGACATTTGAATGTACATAATTTGTTATAAATTAAATTTTGTATACATATATCCATACATGTTTTGTTGACATTGACATACAGTAGATACATACCACGAAATACGCTTGTAAGAAATCATACTCAATACTCGACATTAATAAGTACATTCAAGTCTTATACAGATCGAAATTTATGAAAAAATAACTCATCTTTGACTACGCATTCCGACAGCTCCCATCAAACTTTCGTAAAAAAGAAACGTTTGGCAATAATGCCCATCATTTCTACTTTGTGATGGCATATATATATTATACGTGAGTTGAAATTTAATATGATAATATAATAATAATAAATAAATACACATACTTTATAATATGTCTATGAATGATGATTTCGCTAATACCACTTATAGAATGCCAATGAATATTTTTCCCATCTAGGCCAAATAAAGTCAACAAACTTGCAATCAAAACGTACCACTCTCAGATCATACTATATTATAAATTGACGTCCCGGGGAATTAGGGAGGACTTCACATTAGCTGCACTGTCCTTGTG